GTAAACCAACGTATATGTGTGAGTTTCTCTCTTTAACACATGGGTATTCGGAATGAATTCACTATATATCTATACTGTTCACTCTCATGTCCTTTTCTGAGTCATTGCTGACCATAAATCCGTCATAGCTGAAAATTGTCAGTTATGACTGAAACGCTATCAGAATTAAAAAATTATCTTACGCAGTAGATAATATAATTTTCATTTCTATAATAAATTTCAAACTTTTAATCAAAATTAGTTATAATAATATACTTAGATATAAAAAGGAATGCAACAAAAAATATAATAATATATGAAAATATAAAAATACATTTTCACTTGATGCCATCTCCTCCTCTGCGTAGGTCTTTCTCCAATCAGTGGATAGTTCTGAATTTAAAAATGCAAATGTAAATTCACAGTACTGACATATCAAATGTGAGTGTATTAGTGAACCCATCAGGAGTTTCTTGTAGGGTACGTTAGGCCAATTATGGAATGTAAGCAAATTGTCAACTGACATTTAGGGCTGGCAAAATATGTCTTCTAATAATATCGATTAAACTAGAGCAGACACCGATTATAATGAGTGGAATGTAAGTTTTCAATAGGTTTTCAGTTTAAATTATTTATACTATGTTCACACCGAATTGAAATCCTCTTGAAAACACAATTTGTGGATTGTGGAAACAAAGTCGTTCAGACCGACATTGTGTGTTTTCGATGAGTTTTCATTGACACTTCACATATCTATTTGTTTACATTTCGTATGTACCCTACAAGAACAGTGACGGTCATCTGATGGGTAATATGACAGTCATAGCTGAAAAATTTGTGTCAAAGTTTCTATCATTTTATTAAGAGCCTTGCGCAAAAACTTATGTAAACAAACGTATGTGTGTGAGTTTGCATCTCTCTTTAACACATGGGTATTCGGAATTAATTCACTATATATCTATACCGTCATAGCTGAAAATTGTCAGTTATGACTGAAACGCTATCAGAAGTGAAAAATTCTTTTGCGCAGTAGATAATATAATTTTTATTTCTTTATTGAAATTCAAACTTTTAATCAAAATTAGCTATAATAATATACTTAAATGTAAAAAGGAATGCAACAAAAAATATAATAATATATGAAATATAAAAATAAATTTTCACTTGAAGCCATCTCCTCCTCTCAATAGCTCTGCGTACGTCTTTCTCCAATCAGTGAATAGTATTGGTGAACCCATCAGCAGTTTCTTGTAGGGTACGTTTAGTCCAATTATGGAATGTAAACAAATTGTCAACTGACATTTAGGGCTGGCAAAATATGTCTTCTAATAATATCGATTAAACTAGAGCAGACACCGATTATAATGAGTGGAATGTAAGTTTTCAATAGGTTTTCAGTTTAAATTATTTATACTATGTTCACACCGAATTGAAATCCTCTTGAAAACACAATTTGTGGATTGTGGAAACAAAGTCGTTCAGACCGACATTGTGTGTTTTCGATGAGTTTTCATTGACACTTCACATATCTATTTGTTTACATTTCGTATGTACCCTACAAGAACAGTGACGGTCATCTGATGGGTAATATGACAGTCATAGCTGAAAAATTTGTGTCAAAGTTTCTATCATTTTATTAAGAGCCTTGCGCAAAAACTTATGTAAACAAACGTATGTGTGTGAGTTTGCATCTCTCTTTAACACATGGGTATTCGGAATTAATTCACTATATATCTATACCGTCATAGCTGAAAATTGTCAGTTATGACTGAAACGCTATCAGAAGTGAAAAATTCTTTTGCGCAGTAGATAATATAATTTTTATTTCTTTAATGAAATTCAAACTTTTAATCAAAATTAGCTATAATAATATACTTAAATGTAAAAAGGAATGCAACAAAAAATATAATAATATATGAAATATAAAAATAAATTTTCACTTGAAGCCATCTCCTCCTCTCAATAGCTCTGCGTACGTCTTTCTCCAATCAGTGAATAGTTCTGAATTTAAAAATGCAAATGTAAATTAACAGTACTGACATATCAAATGTGAGTGTATTGGTGAACCCATCAGCAGTTTCTTGTAGGGTACGTTTAGTCCAATTATGGAATGTAAACAAATTGTCAACTGACATTTAGGGCTGGCAAAATATGTCTTCTAATAATATCGGTTAAACTAGAGCAGGCACCGATTATAATGAGTGGAATGTAAGTTTTCAAGGGGTTTTCAGCGAAAACTGTGTTTTCGTTTGACGGATTTTGTATGGATGAAAACACAAGTTTTCGCGTGAAAACCTCTTTTTAGACTTGTATAACAATGATAAATTTTGCTGTTTTTAATTGGGTCGGTTTTAGTATACCGTTCCAGAGATAAAATGGGTATGGGCGGATAGAGGAGATTCTCCAGATCAAGAATATATACCGATATAGCCGCCGAAAACTTATAGTTTTTGAGATACTTACGAAGGCCGCCAACGAAAAAAAAAGCCTTGGTGCACCTCGGTGTTTGATTGACGAGGGTTATTTTTTTGAAACGAGGCTGAAGGCCGCCAATGCAAAAAGGAGTTCTAACCGAAAAGACCTTGGTACACCTAGGTGTTGAACCGACTAGGGTTATTTTTTTTTGAAGCGCAAAAAAAAGTTCCAAAAGAACAAGTAACATTGTCATAGGTGGTATAACATAATCCTTAACATCAATGCTCTCTAATAGTTTATTTTTCAAGTTTTGGATTTCTGTATTTGGGGTATTATGTGTTTTCATTTCTATCAGTTCATTTACAAATGATGTCGATAACGTAACACTGCTTATTTCACATTTTTCAACTTTTATGTAATTGTCAGAATTATTAGAATTTAACAATAATTTAAATATTGAATTAAACTATTTTCGCACTATATAATATAAAATAAATATGTGCAAACGAATTAGTAAAGTGTTAGTGGATATAAAAGTGAAAAATATAAGTGTATAATTCGTTTTAAATCGAAAAAATGCGTACTTTAAATAGTTGATATTTTCAGCTTTAAACGTAAATATCTCAAAAACTATAAGTTTTCCGCGCATATCTATATATATTCTTGATCTGGGGGATCTCCTCTATCCGCTCATACCCCAAAAGCTTTTTCCATTTTGATTATATGAACTATTATGACTTATAGTATCAAATTCTGTTATTATTTAGTTATTTATTCCCGTCCACTCACAGTTAAATCGAATTTTCAGTTTGTCCTTTAATAAGTAAATTAAAATGCTTCAAAATATGCCGCATATTTACCTACCTCAACATGGTATAATAACATATTTTGTGTACAGCATTAAACATCATTCCATAACCAAAATTTAAAATATTTATATATAATTATTATGGTGTTTTTTGTTATGCGCAACACGTTTTAACCCCTCGCCAACCTAACTCACCAGAGGCGGCCATGTTGGTTTTATTGTGAACGTACACCTCGAAGGTGGCGAAAGTATTGTGAATGGGCACTTTCGTTACTTCCTAAACCATGCCATGACCGGTGGTACGTACCTTTGCATAAACCACAAGTAGCCAAAGAATCAGATGTTTTCCTATGGGTGTGAAACAGCCGTGATCACCTGATCGAATCTGCCTTTTTTGACACAGAGATGTAAATAAAAGGATTGTATTGTAGTTTAACAACTTGTTTGTGAACATGTATTTGTAATGAAGAATATTAGTAAATACTTTCAAGAATACTTTCGAAACAAAAGATTATTATATTTTATATATATTGCTTTTCCTCACCACCTCTAAGGTTCCAATATAGGCGCGTTACCGATTTTGTTTGGGTGTTGGGTGTAATATATACAGCTCTAAAATAATCTACTTTTCATAGCAATTATAACTCGAAAAGATTTATACATTAAATCAGGTACATGAATCAGGTTCATGAATAATAATGACAACAATATAAGTAGAAATATTTAACTTGATTTGAACAAAAACGAAAATAAATATATAAAAATCAGGTACAATTCAATTGTATTCATGAACAAATATAAGTAAAATAATCTACTTGTATTAATTTTAACAAAAACAAAAATATATATAAAAAAATTAGGTACAATTCAGGAACAAAAACAAAAATCAAAACAATCTACTAAGTAATAAATAATACTTTCAATATATTCTAAAACACCGTTACACAATAATATATTTGATAAAAGTGGAAACATTTAATAATATTTCAATACAATAAATAATCATTTAAATAAGACTAGCTAAACTTATTCTTTAGGAATTAAAACAACCGAAAAATATTTGAATATGTAATAAAAACATTCTTAAAGTTATAAATTTTAAAACATAACACGGCAACACACTATAGCATATTTGTGTCATTTGGACGTTTTAATAGTAGAATATTGGTTGGCAACCCGTACCAAGTGTGGCTTTAGTAGTAGAATATAAGTAGGCAACTCGTACCAAGTGGGACATTTTTGCGTGTGTATTAGTGAAAATCTTAGAATTGGTTTCTTTTAGATTTATACAATGGCTGACTGTCTGCTAGCTTTCCGCCAAGCCTTGTGTTGCTTGCTCGCGTGTTCGCAACATGTTGCTTTAGGATGGCAAGTGTTGCTAGAAGAGGCATGGCTTTCCCGTTGCAGCCCAATACTTGTTTTGTTGTTTACGTGGTGTGGTTTTACTGTTGTGTATGAGTAATTGCTATGTCTAGCTTTTCTTCTTGTATACTCTTGCTATGTTGTATTTGTTTAACAGGGTGCGTCTTCGTGCGTTGTGGGGGTTAAATTCCGTATGGATATTTAGTTCGCACAATATAATAATTGACTGCCTGTAGATGCTTACCTTCGTGTATTCAAACACAATATACAAAAAAAAATTTAAATATTTAAATACTTACCATATTTTCCGGCAATACCCCTTACGCAAAGGTAAAGTCAATGTTAAAGCACAAAAAAAACAAATAATAATAGTGTAGACAAAAGTTAGTAAATTTAATCTGTAGTAATTTTAATAATCGAAAAATATTTCAATATGTTATAAAAACATTCTTAAAGTTATACATTTTAAAACATAACACGGCTACACTTGAGCGTTTTAGTAGTAGTTAGGAAGTAGTACAATATTAGTAAGCAACCCGTACCAAGGATGTAGTATAATATTTGGGGCAACACGTACTAAGTGAGACATTTTTGCGTGTGTATTAGTGAAAATCTTAGGATTGGTTACTTGTAGATTTATGCAATGGTGTCGGTGACTGTTTGAAGCATTACGATTGGACACATGTAGACATCGTAAAGGGGGGGCATAAAACTGCTCACATAAGAATTTTTATCAATAAGCAGGTGTGTATTAGTGCATATAAAGTAATAATAAATAATAACTAAAATAATTTTTTTCCAGAGGAAACCTGTAGAAAATAATAAACCTATTTTAACCCGCCCATAATGTGCTTGATCGGTATATCGTTTTAGAAAGATTTTATAAAAAGTTTCGGTGTCTTTGGGATGAAATTTACATTACATATAATTTTATTAATAGACGCCCTGATGCTTTAGATTGCGTACATAGTGATTTCAATTTGGAAACTGATTTATGTATGACAACAATTTGGAAAGTGAAATTGCAAAAAATATGTTTCGATGTAAAGAAACAAACATTACGTTGTAAATGATACAATATTGCGTATTTGTAAATTACCATACTCCTACGATCAAATTGCTTTTATCAAAGTAAATGTTTTAGTGTGCATCTAATTGTTTTCAAAGCTAATATGTGGCCAGTATTATAGTGCTCACCACCAACAAAAGTTAGAATCATGGGAAATTTCTTCATTTGCAACACCTCTTTGCATTCATTGAAACAATTTAAAAATCTAACCTGATAATATGAATACTTTGTTTAAATAAAAACAGGATTTTTTCTATGCCAAATGTTATTTGTTTTATTTCGTTAGATCTTTATACCATTCCTTATATCTATATCGCATTTTCCTCACCACCATGAGGTATGCAAATTGGCGCGTTACCGATTTCTTTGGGTGTTCGGTTCCCCAGGAGGCCTATTTTCACCCATATACCTTAAAACTAAATAACAAAATTATATATAATAAGTAAATTTACAAAAACATTCAAAAAATTCATTTTACAATAATACTTATATAAATACATTTTATGTGCATGTATTACCAACAGTGGAGATCTAATAAAAACCCTTTTAATTCAAATTATAGAAAATAATGCTAACCTGTTGATCCAAAATAAGTTGTTAATAAATGTTTCTATGTAAAAAAAACATAAAATAATTATATTAAAACAATTATCAAAAACAAAAAACAAGTCCGTCCGTTTTACAAAAAGTTGTTAATAAATTCAAATGTGTTGCCAGTATTGCTATTGAGCATAGCGTAAGATAATTTAAAATTACTTTTTAAAAATTAAATATATCTACCGTATTTTATACCATAAAGATATTGCAACTTCAACAAATATCTTATTTTAGAAGTCTATATATTAAAAAACTAAACTCAGAACTATATAACAATATGGTAATTTATTTATGTGAAGAGTTATATGTAAAATATTGTACATATTATAATCGCTACATGCTGAAATACAGAGACAGCTACCTGGTATGCCTACCGTATTTTATACTATAAAGATATTGCAACTTCAACAAATAATTTATTTTAGAAGTCTATATATTTAAAAACTAAATTAAGAACTATGTAATAATATGGTAATTTTTTTTGTCAAGGGTTGTAATAATATATTGTACATATATCCACCGCTAAATGCTGAAAAAATATAATTAAATATTAATAAATGGAATTATAAAACGTAAATAAAATTTGTGATTAAATAAATCTACACTTAAATTAAAGAAAACGTCGGCACAGTAACTATGTTTTTGATATAAGTACAATGAGAAATTTTACTTTATTGTTTAAATGAATTATTATCACTTGTATGACAATGATAAGTTTTGTTTTTTGATTATATAAATTATTATTACTTATAATTCTGTTACAATAGTTATTTCTTCCCTTCCACTCATAGTTAGATTGAATTTTCAGTTTGTCCATTAATAAGTTAATTAAAATGCTTAAAAACATGCCGCATATTTACCTATATCAACATGGTTAATATCATATATTGTTAGCATTAAACATCATGCTATAACCAAAATTTAAAATATTTATAAATAATTATTAAGGCGTTTTCTATTATGCGCAACCCGTTTTAACCCCTCGCCACCCTAAGTCACCATGGCCGTCATGTTGGTTTTATTGTGAACGTACGACTCTGACGTGGCGAAACTATTGTGAATGGGACTTTCGCTACTCTCTTAAGGATGAAATGATGCAAGACTCTTTCAATAGAGAGAGAGCTGTCAAAACCCACATTTTTTGTAACATTTGCCAATCATGCCACTGTCGAACGAAAATGGGTTGGGTATTATAAAAAAAACTTGTGGGTATTTTGCATATCGATATTATTTTTAGGTGCTCCGTCCCCGAGTAGGCCTATATAACGCATATACATCCCTATATACTTGTATTTATATTATAAAATTTTTAAAAAATCATATAACATAAAAAAATAGCATATAAATAAAAAAAATTATAACAAAGAAACAATACAAGTCATAATAAAAGATCGTGGTTTTTTAATAAACGTTTTAAAATAAATTAACAAATAAAATTTAGTTGCACGTTATTCAAAAGTATTTGTGTCGTTCCTTGAAATTTCGTTTCGCACTGCTTTTGTTAGCTATTTTTAGCGGGTTTATTTCTGGCATCCCGCCTTTTTTGACATCAGCTGTTCCAAATTCCCTGATTTTAATAATCAGGGAAAGAGAATAACAGAAAAATCAGCGAAAATGAGAGAGTCTTGTATCATGTCATCCTTGTCCCTGGATAAAATGATCGAAACTCTTTGATTTGAGAGAGCGCTGTCAAAGTCCACATTTCTTATAACATTTGACAGTGGTGCCATTAAGGGATGAAATAAGTTTTGAGATTTTTAAATTTATTTCTTGGGTATTTTTAGGTTTCCATTTTACAGAAAAATATACCTAATTAAAATTAGTTTAACAAGCTAGATATCCTATATGACTTCTAAATATAAGTACATGTATATTTTAATCACAAAAGATTTTCAAAATTAACGATATAAACTAAATTTAAAAAAAATTTTTAATATTTCAAAACACACAAGTTTTAAATAACCTAAACATGATCCTTATTTCTTTTTTATATACTCAATTAACAAATATCTTTTGATAACTTATTCGGAAGTCAAAGTTTACATAACATTTGCTGGGAATTCTAACCAAAATAAGTATATACGTTGGCAATTGGTACTGCTAAGCAAAAGAATACTCTGCCACAAAATACCGCTCTTTCTTAAAAACAAAACTATATTAAATCTCTTTAAATAAAGATTACAAATATACGTAAAAGTTAACAAAAATTTGATCTCACAAATTACCCACTGATTTCGCAATTTATTTCTGCGGGATTCTTAGTGGTAGTTCATTGTTTTGCTTGTCATCTGTTCAGTAGCTCATGAACTCGTGGTTTTTCTTGGCAGCACTGAAAGTTCATGAGCTCTCTCGAAAGGCAGAGAGAGGAGTTTCAGATCATTTTATCCATGCTATGCTGTTTTGTTAAGGAATTCCTGCTGAATTTAATTAAAAATCCATAATATAGGTCTAATTATAGCAACTGTAAGTAAAATTTATTAAGTGGGAAATAATTTGCACAAAACAGAGTCGAGACAAAAATTTCATATAGAAAAATGCGGTTAACCAACAAATTGTGCGCCCAACATCTAGGATGGACTTTCAAGAAACATTGGTTAGTTCAAGGAAAAAGAATACCACGTGACACGGGAGCTGCGGCAGAAGTGATAAAGAATGGAATTGCTTTACAAAGTGTTCATGATTTATCAAAATCTGAAACTTATAACAAGCGGGAAAGGTAGAAATTTATGTATAAAAATAAGTGGTTATTCAAATTAAGTATGCTTTTGATGATAGAAAATATATTGGCGAGAATGACATTAATCTTAATTGGAACACAAAGCCGGTCTACTTATTTGGTGACAATAACATTTTACTTAAAGGAATTCAGCAAGCTGTACTGCTTACTAATTCTATTGAAGTACCAAGTTTACCCCAACATATACAGGAATCCATAGATAGAATTCAAATGACTGGATTGAGTGAGCGCAATATGATAGAAGCCATTATGGCATCAAATCTATTTTCAGCAGATCAAATAAAGTTGCCTAAAACAAAGAACCCTTTGCGTATTGGATATAACCTTCGCCGAGAGTATGGTATACGAAAAGAAAGAAAAATGTAAGTAATAAGTATTTAAACAATATTATGTTAACCTTATTTTTTTCTAGTACAATGTTGTTAAATAAATTACTTACCGAATGCGAGAAGATTGCGGGTCGCAACATAAATTTCCAACGCCGCATAATTGACCAGGTCAATTATAATTTTACTTTACCTAGAAAAGAGGAGATGTTATTATTTCGCATCAAAACAGAAAAGCTTATTACTTCAAGTCGACCTCTGACATCCATTGAAGGAAAATTCGAGTCGGAATTGCCAAATTTATATCCTCTAAAAAGCACAATATCTATGTCAAAAGAACACAAATACTCAAATAAAACAATAAGTCGTAAGGATTTGTAAGATTTTATTAATAACCGTGAAATTTAGGGTTTATCGTTTCAGCTTTTAGCCACGATTTAAATTTTCATCCCCATACAATATTTATATATTTTGATAATGACGAAGTGACAAACCTTCATGACGTCCCCGTAAACGTATCCCAATTTCAAAGTCGCAACATGTTTAAAGCTTTTGCAGTAGCTGCAGCACGAGCTAAACAGCTTTATGGAGTAATTTATAAATTTTGATATGCGTATACATAACATATATATATATATTTTTTTAGGAATCTGAAGATAAATTGTCTAGACCCATAGTTGTGCAAAGTATACAGACTGATGGACGCACATTTCACTTTGGCGTATTTCAATTAAATGACTTAAGTATCAGTGCCATAGAAGGACCTAAAAATTATTGGTTTCATTCATCAAACCTTAATCTTTTTGAAAAATGCGAATACGTTTCTGGAAGACCCAAACTAAAAGGATTTAATAAGGATGTTTTGCGATATCTGTATGCATTTTATATCAATTCGTAACTTCATATACAGATATTTTAAAATTTTGTGAAACGCCTAAAGGTCAACCTAACCAACTAATCTAATATCAACCCTGTTGATGAAATAAAAACATAATGTAGTGATGCACATTAAACTACTATTATATTGCGTTGATATAACTTTGAGGGTTAGATAATTGAGGCTAGTCGGGTCAATAGATGTGACGTATAATATGCTGTCGTGCAAATTGATACTGCAAAACAACAACCCTTCTAGTAGGAAATATTCTTATTGTAATAAACATTTTTTCTTATACTAATGTTTTGCTCAATTGATAATTTCTTTTTCTTGGATTTGTTGGTCCAAAAACATCAGCTTAGTCATCGGAATCAATTTAATGATCTAGTTTAGCTTCAAGAGACAGTAATGCCAAAGAATTCAGTCTATCTTTGTCCATGCTTGCGCGTAAATAAGATTTAATTAACCCTTTTCCAAAGTTGTCAAAGATTTTTCTCCAGAAAAATTCGTGGCGGTATCGCTCAAAACAAGCAGCTAAATGTTGAACTTTCAATAAAAAATAAACCGAAATAAACTAGTTAATTCTCTATTAATAAATATTTCCTACACAAACCATTTCATCAAATATGTTTGAATTTCGCATTCCCTATCGCATTCCCCTGATTTAGTTTAGTTAGATTTGATGTATGCACCGCGACCTATGGTCTATTGTGCCCTCCCCTAACTCATACCGTATCATCTAAGCCCAGCATGTTGATAAATTCCAAAATTCTGCTGGGTGTTAGTGAGGCGATACAATCCCTGTGTGGAAACATGGATCCCAGGGCCTTGATTCTGCGTCTGCAGACTGCTGTGCAGTTCATCATCGGCTCTATGTCGCAGAACCGGCAGTTTGCAGAAGAGGCTATACCCATGTTGAAGAGGTGCTGGTGTAGAACGCGACAAGTAGCCGGAATTTGTTCCTCGGGAGATTAATTATGGCTTTGAACCGTTTGAGGTCGTAACCCCGCATTAGCAGTCTGGCATGGTGCATGCCCTGAAGTTGTTGCCAATGTGTCTCCCTGCCTGCTCTTTCCTCCCTACGGAGGAGCTCTTTAATGGTATGTGGACCAACCGCTATGAATGGTTCCGGTCCTACCATTTTTGTAGAGGCTGCAGAGCGGGCCAACTCGTCAGCCAGTTCGTTCCCGGCTATACCCCTATGGCCAGACACCCAAATAAGGTGCACTCGGTTGTGCTCTGATAGGCTGTTCAGCCGTTCTGACCTCATAGGCAGAGATCGCTCTTAGTGCCGCCTGACTATCGCTGAGTATAGCAATACTTTTATTGCGATAGTTGCGTTGGAGGTTTATCCCTACACACCGACTTATAGCATAGACACCGGCTTGGAAAATGCTCGGGAAACTTCTCATGCACCAATCCCCTCCTCCGTTTTCAACCCGTCGGTGTACCACTTGATAGTGCTTTCCCTTAGCAGCAGGTCCAGTGATGAATCATTCCATTCAGACTTGCTGCCAAGGGTAACTTTTAACTTCCTGCTGAAGTTTACTACTTTGGTAAAGCTATCCCTTGGGAGAAGGGCTAGTGGTATTTCCTCACTTAGCGCCTTCATCTGCTTGATTACCAGGTGTAGCGGTGAAAGCTCTAGCATGACTTCCAGTGCTGCGGTCGCACACGTTCGCATTGCTCCCGACGCGCAGATGCAGGCAAGTCTTTGCTGCCCCTGATTTAAATCTGGCCATTCCAGTCAGTATTCCATTATAATAACATTTATTAAGAGAAATACTAAAATTTTTTGAATTAATAATAAATTTAAAATTATAAATATAAAATAAAAAATAAAAAATATTTCTTTCTATTTAAAATATTCTATCTAATACTTCAATCTTTAACATCTGATAAGTTTAAGGCCGCAAGTTTATGTGCCATATCGAAGTACAATGAAGCTGTCTGCGTCATCATATTATAGGAATTAAACTCAGTCACTTTCAAACAAGTCCCCCTCAACGAAGGAGGCCACGAAAATTAAATTTTTTTTAAATCATCTTATTTTGACGCGAAGATTACAAATTCATGAGTGGAAAGTCGATTTTTTTAATAATTCTATATATTTTGAATTAAAAAAAAATGAATTTTTACAAAAAAAAATTTTTTTTAAATGACTCACTTTGCTCATGTTCTTTCGTGTGGTAACTACTTTCTGAACTGGCGGCCGCGCTTAAAAAAAATAATCTTGATCTTTCCAAAACCGCTATCCACTGTTGCTTTTCTCTCCCCTTAACATAAACTTTTAAGTTTTTTAACGCTGATATCAAATAGTTCCTTACAACTTTAAAACTATCACTTCCATAGGACCATAATAAATTATGGTGGTGTAATCAATTAGCTTGCCGTTGATTATCCTTACTCAGGTCTGAGAATTCTAACGGAGCTTTGATGTGGAAGCAATGAAATTCTTCATTGTTGAAGACGACAGCTATTTCCTTTACAATAAATTTATTATCATAGGCTTTGAAGCCTTGAACATGTAGGGTGCGTAAGATTTTCACTAATACACACGCAAAAATATCCCACTTGGTACGGGTTGCCAACCAATATTCTGCTACTAAAATCACACTTTGTACGGGTTGCCAACCAATATTCTACTACTAAAACGTTCAAATGACAGAAATCTGCTATAGTGTGTTGCCGTGTTATGTTTTAAAATTAATAACTTTAAGAATGTTTTTATTCCATATTCAAATATTTTTCGGTTGTTTTAATTCCTAAAGATTAAATTTACATAGTATTATTTAAATTATTATTTATTGTATTGAAATATTATTAAATGTTTCCAATTTTATCTTTTTTAACTTACATGTTTATGTTTTTGTGAGTGAAAATTCTTTGTCTGTTGAATATTTAAATTCTTAGTTTACCGGTTTAGTCCTGGGGAAACAAACACCCAAAAAAGATCGGTAACGCGCCTCAGAGGTGGTGAGGAAAAGCAATGGGAAAACTTTAGTTTAGCATCCCACGATTTCAGGGTTAAGAGGGGTATGGTTGGATAGAGGAGATTCTCCAGATCACGAATATATATAACTATTGGCGCCGGAAACTTATAGTTTTCCAGATATTTCCATTTTAATTGCAAATTGTTAAACTACAACCTTTTATTTAAAACTCTGAGTCAAAAAAAGGCATATTCGATCAGGTGATCACGGCTGTTTCACACACATAGGAAAACAGCTGATTCTTTGGCTACTTGTAGGCATAAATTGCGAACAAAAAATGACAGCAGAACGTGATGCTGTTGCAAGTGTTGCCAAAAATTCACGATATACGTTCTCTGGTGATACTTTGACAAATTTGCAACACTGCTGTCGTGATTGCCATCTCGAACGCACTCATTCTGTCGCAAACATTATGAAATTTAATAATGAAATATATTTTTAATGGCAGGCTTTTTATACGTTCATGCACTTTATTTATGTGGTTTCAAAAATGCACATACAAACTTGCCCTTAAATTAAAAATTTCAAAAAATCCTCATGCACTTTTACCATACGAAAAAAAGTCCCACCACACACACACATTATTGACAATATTGGTACATGCTTTTTTATCTGCAATTATTTTTGGTAGTAACGAGCCTCTAATTGGTTGGTATTTATTCATGTTTACTTCTAGATGAAGAATTTCACTTAGACTCCAACCACTGTCTCGCTCTTGATATGTTAATTTTTTCAATCAATTTACTTTACTTTTCCTTAATTATATCAATAACATTGTCGTTCTCCATAAATGCTTCAGTCATTAATGTTTGGTGTGAAACTATAGCACATTCTTCAATGTTTTCTTTTATTTGAGTATATAATATTAACAAAATAGTTCAATGTTAAATTTGATGCTTTTATGATTTTCTATTGATTTCTGTAAAAGTTCAGATAATTCATTTAAATGTTTTTCAAAAAAATCTTCAACAGTTAAATCATTGGACTGATCGTTTTCCCAAACGTATGTAAATACATTCAAAAGTACTATTTACACTATACATACAACATATGCATGTTTGTTCTCACGTGTGCTGACCATACATTTTTTTCACTTCAATTTTACATTGCTAACAAAAAATTATTATTTTTGAAACTTGTTGTTTCATTGTTAAATGTATTGTCTGAACTCCTCTTCCAAACATATATCTTTTCACAAAAACTACACGGATAATGTGTTTTTTTTTTTTAACTCTTTGAAATTCAAATAATGCTGAAGTAAATTTTTCACCAGGCTTAAAATTTATATTTATATAAAATGTATTATCGGTTATGACTTCAATAGTTGAATCTTTTAAGGAGTTGTAGGACTCCGGAAGAAAAAGAACATTTTTGTCTAGTTCTAGCATTACCTGCCACCAAACTTTGTCTTCACTCTTTTGGCTTTTAATACTCTCAATTTTTTATTGATTAGTACATCAGTCGCTTTTATTATAGGTTTTTGAACTTTTTCATTTTTCGAAACTGATTACAAATCCTTTAGAGCTTGGTTCATAATGTGTATGTCTACAATAAGACAACATTTGATAAGTTTAAAAATTATAGTTTATTATCGTTTATTTAAAGAGTTGCTGGTGTCACAATGCTAAAATTTCTTACAAAACAATTTTATAATGAGTTGAAACAACAACCGCTTGAAACAATTTACTGATAAGACGTCTAATTTATATGCACTGTAACAAGTGGGGTGCTTATAGTATATATATGTAGATGTGTATGTAGGTATGTATTTTACGGATTGTTGATATATATCGTGCAGTGAAAACTATAGTTCCGCAACCCACCAGTTTCGCGCTACTACTACTACTCTACTTTATAATTTTTATACCCTCGCAACATGATGCTAGTATAATAGTTTTGTTCACCTAACGGTTGTTTGTATCACCTAAAACTAATCGAGTTAGATATAGGGTTATATATACATATATAAATGATCAGAATGAAGAGACGAGTTGAAATCCGGGTGACTGTCTGTCCGTCCGTCTGTGCAAGCTGTAACTTGAGTAAAAATTGAGATATCTTTATGAAACTTGGCACACATGTTTCTTGGTACCGTAAGACGGTTGGTATTGCAGAAGAACATAATCGGACCACTGCCACGGCCACAAAACGCCATTATTCAAAAACAAATAAATTGCCATAACTAAGCTCTACAACAAGATACAAGACTCTTATTTGGTGTACAGGATCACATTAGGGAGGGCCATCTGCAATTCAATTTTTTTAAGTGGGCGTGGTCCCGCCCCTAATAAGTTCAATGTACATATCTCCTATACCACTGAAGCTATAATAACAAAATTCACTGGAAGCAAATGTTTTTAGCACTTCTACCTACAGTGTGAAAATGGGTAAAATCGGGTGACACTATAACGGTACGGTTAAAAAATACTAAAAGCGCAATAAACCAAGCACAAAACAAGCCAGAGACATTAAATTTTATCTCTGGGATGGTATGAGATGACTATAGGAACCGCGTTCAAAATTAAACAGTGGGCGTGGCACCACCCACTTTTAGGTGAAAACCCATATCTTGGGATCAGCTTAACCGATTTCAACCAACGGAACATAACATTCTTCTCATATTTCTATGTTATAGTGCATATTGGGTGAAATCGGATTACAACCACGTCTATTTCAAATATAACACCATTTTAAATTCCATCTGATTCTTTTACTTTCCACTATGCAAATCAAGCAGCAATGATTGTATCGGGGTACACCTTTGCGTAAATAATGCGTTTAAAGTATGCTACCTTGTGACCAAAAATTGTCTAAATCGAACTAAAACTGTTCAAGCCCCTAGGTACTGAATATGTGGACCCCAGTGCCTATAGTTGACTTTTTACCGAAAATTTCAGTCCAATGTGTAAAATAACAATTTTAAATTAATATAATAAAATAAATAAATGAAACTTTCGATATATATGCCAACACCTGAAGTAATTTCGCGGGCTTTGATCCTTGCAAGTTGCGAGAGTATAAAATGTTCGGTTACATCCGAACTTAGAACTATCTTCCTTGTTTAATTTAGTATCAAGCAGACAGTACAATAAAAAGGAAAAAAATGTCGTTCCCGCAATATTTAGAAAAGATTTTAAAAAAATATAACGATTTAATTGATAATGAACATCAAATATTTTTTTATTCTATAATGAATGAATTGCGACCATGTTTATCTCAACCATTCATATATGCACCAAATGGATTACACAAGAAAGATTGTCATTTTGCTGATAAGTCATACAAGGGAATAGTAGATATATGTAATTGTATTTCGCTTTATTCCCGACACAAAACATTGAAAAAAATTTATAATTTATATGCTGTCATGTTTAAGGAGTAGAGATGGTTGTAATCAACGTGAAAGCACAATTTATCGAAATACAAAATGACAAACTAAAAAAATATATTGTAAATAAAACAACTGCCACGTTTTTGCCTAGATTGTTGTAATCAGCGTGAAAATACATACACGAAAATACAAAATGGTAAACTAAAAAATGGTTCAAGGAGATATAAATATGAATTTTATTTTATAATAATCATATTAAGGTGGAGCAATGGGTTCTGAAAAATATGTAAATTTTGATAGTGATCAATAAATGTTCATTTTTGTGTTTGATCCAGGAGAATTTGATAAGATGTTACAAAATTTCGATGAGGAAGAGTTTAATAAGCCGCTTCAAAAACTAGAAGAGCCCGCTCAATCCCTACAAGGTACAATTGAAGGAAGACACATATGTTAAATAAGCGTAAGAGACAACGACCTTTAAAGATAATACAAGATAAGGGTTCTCCACAAAAGCAACCCAACTAAAAGCTAATACTGCAAATGTAAATAATTATATTGATCTTTGTGAATAAACATTAGCAGATGTTCCTATAGATGGGAGTTTAGACACTAAAGGGCTATTAACGGTTTGAAAAATTAATTTAAATAGTAAGATGAAAGAAGATCCCTCATTTAAAGTTAATTTTAAAAATGACGGAGATATTCAAAAATTAAAATGTTTAATACAACAGTGGTTTGATGATGAAATTAAAGCGGATGTTATTGATTTAGAATGCACACAAACTTCAACAATATAAAATAAATTAGCTGTGATGTTGAATTGATCCGTTAAGATAAACTTTTAGGAATTGTTTATAAATATAAATATAAAAGTATTGAAAAAAAGTTTATATGCATTTATTTAATTTAGTTGTAACAAATGTTTTATTTATAAATGTACAAATGTTTTAAATTGGAAATAATATATGAATATACAAAAGAAAAATATAATATAAAATAGTTTAAACAATTCTGTTACTTTAATTATTACACATTCATCAAAATTGACTGTAACAAGAAATTGTGTGGCATATGTATCGCGCTGTTCAAATAGCTTAGTTGCTAATACATTAACTTCAAATTCTCTATATGTTGCCTCCTTTTCAAATTTTCTAAGAGTCCCATTAGTTTCTAAGTATTCCATATGTTCTGTAAGTAATTGAAATATAAAACTTTCACAAAGTTTTTGTAAATCAAAAGCTTGTTCATTGGATCCCGTATTTATACATGGAGACAAAATTCTAATTCCTTCACGAATAACACAATCCACAATAATAAGATCATCATCTACATCAAAATTGAATGGTGGACTAAGCCTTTTAATTATAAAAAAAATTGATTTCAATAATGAACTTTTAGGACTAGTGTTAGAATAATTAATATAAGTGAAAACAGAAAGTTTAATGGTTTTATACACTCTCAACACGTATGAACTTCAATTAAAAAATTTAATCATAATATCCAATCTTCATATTTATGTGGTTTCAAAAATCAAATAAAAACTTGCACTTTAATTAAAAATATCAACAAAATGTGCTTTCCAAAAATTCCCATGCGCTTAATTTATGTGGCATGCATACATATTGACGGAGATTTTTGTCATGGAAAAATATTTAAAAATTGAAAAATGTTTTAAAATTGTGAAATATTTTAAAACGACAAAAGCTTTGTTGCCAGTTTTGTAAATTTTTTCTGTGTTTTGTGGTTTTGCGGGGTTGCAACTTTTCCTTGCTAGAGGAAATATCCGAAATTTGTTCAATTTATGATTTTTAGCTTTTGCCATCGTCGCGAAAAGAAGCTTGTAGGCAAACGCATGCTCGGGGCGATGAGAGGGTGTCTGTTTTTATGAATGAAACGAGGTTGCTTGTTGTAAGTACGCCTGCGTTCATGAATGAAAATGTTGTTGTTGTGTGATTTACTAATTGGCTGACATATTGACTTGTGATGACTGTTGTTTTTGTAGCACAATTTTCGTAGTTTTTGCGGGTGACATATTAACATGTGTACGGATATTCATATGTATGTAGGTTGGTTTGTGTATGCATTATTTGTTCGGCACTGTTATATGTATATGTGATAAAATTATGATTTGAATTTTTGAATGCGTACATTTAAATGCGCATGTTCAGATATATGTACAATACATATGACTATATAAGATTAATATGATAAAAGATGTATGTATACGTTTTAATAAATTTAATCACTATCACATTTATCATACAAAATATTGGTAATTGTACACTTTCACGGTCACCTGGTTTTTTGGCTGTCAAAAATCGAAAAATGCATGGATTTTCATGATTTTGTTTTTTAAATGTTTGTTTTTACGGCGGATTTATGATAAAAAATTCAAATATCATCTAAATGCAAAGTTTCCGCACTCCTTTTTGCTGCAGTTTGACGCGATTTAATTGTGAACAGTTTTGGACCGTCCAGGGTTATTGTTTTGAAGCGCGGCCGAAGGCCGCCAGTGCGGAAAGGAGTCTGTCAGTGATTATTCACAGGAACTTGGTTTTTTAATATATCTAAAGCCACGAAACTGATAGACATTTTGCATTTAGATGATATTTGAATTTTTTATCATAAATCCGCCGTAAAAACAAACATTTGAAAAAAAAATCATGAAAATCCATGCATTTTTCGATTTTTGACAGCCAAAAAACCAGGTGACCGTGAAAGTGTACAATTACCAATATGTGTGAATACGCATAAATAAGGGAACATTCAATAAACCTAAACGTGTGAACATATTTTCTTGAAATATTATATATTATCTCAATAGGTAAAATATGCTATTAAAGTAACTGAATTGATATTTAATAAATAAAATAAGAGGAAAAACGACTAGAATATGCGACCAGACACGAATCCATAATGCATGTGGCAAGGCCAGTTAAAAACTATTTGGAAAACTGTGGGTGGGAAGTTCTACCTCACCCGCCTTATAGCCCAGACATAGAATGCCCTCCCCGGAGAACGCTTCACTCCAGAACAGGGTATCAGAAATTGGCCCGATTCATTCTTGACCTCCAAGCCGAAGAAGTTCTTTTGGGATGGGATCCACAAACTGCCAGAAAGATGGGCAAACATCGTAGCTTCCGATGGGCAATACTTTGAACATTAAATGTATAACAATAAAGTCTTAATTTTGGAGAAAAAAAACCGCACGAAATAATGCATACAGTAAATGTTTATTTTATTATAAACCCTGTGGTTTTTACCAGTAATCCTCCTTTTTAATACAAAAGTCTTTTCAGAATTATAAATTTTGTCATGTCATAGAAAATGAAAACACTAATAGGTATGCGTATCAATAATTCATTTAAGAACATTCGTTGTGTTTATTTATAGCCTTTATTCTCATTTACCACATTGCGTGGTGTATTTCTCTTTTTGAAGTAACATTTTTCGATGTTCTCTCATGTGAAAACTACAAGATTTGATTTAAAATTTGCGCCTTCTCTTTCAATAACACTACCTGGTGTTACTCTGTTGATTATCCATCTGTTACCTTTAACAAATGCATATGTTAGCAGTTTGGTTACCTTTTTGTTACCACAACCACGTATATACATAAACTGATTATTCAAATTAATTAATACTACTAATATGTATATATAATATTTAATTTGTATATATACTTATATAGTTTAAATATAAATATAATATTAACGCTTAAAATTTATACTTAAACAAATAAAATACATCTAACAATACAATCCCTTAAATAATTACTTATTCTACAAATTACGAAAATTGTTGGCCCACAGTTTCGGCCGTTTACGACGGATGTTTTCGCGCAAACGAAACGCTTAACTCAAACCTCAAAACGCTTAACTAATACTCTTTATTGACCATCTGTCCCGTTGGAACGAGTTCATGATGAACCAAACCGCGAATATGAAAAAAAAATAATTGCCGTAGATTCCCGCTTGAGGTCGTTAAAGAAAATTCGCAGGGGGTGGTATATATGTATCGCTTCAGAAGGAGCATATTTTGAAGGCGACAAAATAAATATTGATGAAGATAAAAAAAGGTTCCGGAAAATTTCTGGCCTTAATGTATATGCATAAAAAATATGATTTGGTCCCTTAATCACGATAATAGACCATGTCATAGTACATCAGTTCTTCGCGGGATTTTTTCAAAAAACTCTACTCGAATCTTTCCGGAACCACCGTATTCGGCTCCGTGCGACTTCTGGTTGTGAAGCAAACTCATTTGGGCACTTCTCATCCTTTGCTCAGAGGTTACACGTTCGCATTTTTTGCATTGCACCCTTGTGTTTAGAGAGAATGTTAGAAAAACTGTGGAGGACGCCTCTGAAATAAAAAATATATAGAAAATTAAACCATTAGATATATGGACAAGTATATTATGGGGGAGCGAAAAAAAAAAACATTTTTTTTTTGCTTAACCTGAGGGTAATGAGGGAAATTTTTAAATAAAATCTACAGGCGGCCTACTCACTTTTAAAGTAAATTTCAAGTTAAAATTTTTATTTCGTAAAAAATTTTTGATAAGTGTTCAAGAAGCTGTGGAGAGTCCGCTTTATAGGTAATTAAAAGTTATCAAATTAAAAAAAATTTGTATGGTCATTATTGGAGTTTAAAAAAAAATCTTACACGACAACATGCTTTCCATAAGCGTCAAAATAAAATTTGAATCAAAACCGTCAAATCCGGTAATTTTTATATAAATGTGAAAACACGTCATAATAAACGAACGTCATACAAAGCGTTTTGTGAAATGAAAAACCTTTTCATGTAAATATGTATGTACTTAAGTATTTTAATACAGAAACATAATATTATAAATACATGTGTATACAAACATATTAAATCGAAATCAAAATTGCACGTAATCAGCACATTATAACACATGTGTAAAAACACGTCAAGTGGACCCCCCATTTTCCACTTGATCATCGAATTTGAAGAGAGAGTCATTTGACAAAAAAATTATTTAAATTCATACATATTTTTCAAAGCAAAGTTTTGAACTATAACTCCTGAAAATTTCATTAAAAATCACCAATAGTTTTCTAGTTATTAATTTTTAACTAAAGTAGAAAAATTTTCAATTAAAAAAAATTGTTGTTAAAATTAAAATTTAAAAACTGAGCAGGGATTACTTGCTTATGATGACTACTTTATGAAAATACTCACA